CTGCCCGCTTTCTCGCCTCCGCGTCAGCCGCGGCGCGTGCGCTCTCTCCCAGTGCGGCCGCCCGGGCCCGGGGACGGGCTCCCCGCGCTGCCCCCTTCCAAGTTCCAGGACTATCATCCGCTTTGAGTCAGGTGGCATGAAGTGTGCAGGGGCGTCCCCGAGGCCGCCAAATCCAAACCTTCGTCCGGAAAAGAGTGGTCTGCTCACAGATCTGAACTCGCTCCAGGTTGTAATACTGCAGGAGGCTGCCGGTTATCAAGTCCGGCCTGTTCTTGCAGCCCTACTCCTCACATTGGGAGAATAAGCATTGCATTTCACGTTTGATCCCGTCAAACATAGAACTGCCTCCGGGAGAATGCACCTGGACTGTGTGTGTGAGTTCATGCATCTCCTCGAGGAATGCGATTTCGGCGCCTCTTGTTCAGTTTCAAGGGCAAAGAATGACCGGCTACTGAGCTCAATCTGGGCTGTACATTGAAATCACCTGAGGAGTCTGAAAAACTGCTCCTGCCTGGGGCTTGCGCCCAGGGCTTCGGATTGAGTTGGTGCGAGGTGGGGATTGTAATGATTTTTTTTTAAGTTCGCAGGCAATTCTGAATGTAGAAAGGAAAAATCCCTATTATCAACTTGGTTTGATACTTCAAACCAGAAGATTAGGAGAATTCTGGTTGAAAGATTCCTCTCAGTGTCCCCCACCCCCCACCCCAAGCTGACACCACTGGATCACTTGTCACCCTGGCATCTTGTCACCCTGGCGGCATCTCAACTTTTTTCTTTGTTTTCTTCCTTCCCTGTTGGTGTAATTTGTGCATTTGCCATCAGCGGTCATTGGTATTAATGAGGAGGGGCTGAATGAACTCTTGAGCATTGTGCTCTTTTGTCCTTCTAGACTTGATTGTGTCTTTGCTTTGAAGTTTTTTGTTGAAATTGTGTTTTCAGCAATGGGAGCCATTTTGATTGAAATGGGGGAAAAAGTATATTAGAGGATAAATTCGGAGCACCCGTTTTGCAGAAGGCTATGGATGCCAGTGAGAACCTTAAATCCATCCGCAGAGCTTCTTGGGCATTAAGCCGCCATTGAATTCATTCTGACCATTAACCAAGGTTGAGATAACCTTGTCCTTACACAGAGTATTGGAAAGTGAATTACCTCTACCCCTCTCCAGCCACACCAGGGAGGGACACTTTCGTAGGGGGTTTCGTGATTGGGACCTTGATGGACAGTACTGGGGATCCCATAGTCATAAGTCAGCGGTGTCCTGCCTTTATTGGAAAGCCCTGGACCAAACTTGTAAGCTCTTCTATCTAACATAATGTACATGGCCAGTCATGGCCCCGTTCCTGCATCTGTCATCCCACCTGTAACTGTGATATATCGATCTGCCACCAGTCATGATTTGTGAGTTTCCCTTGTTGCATGCCTTATGTAACTAGCCTCCCTAATTACGAATCATTGGATGCCATTCTGACCTCGTGCTAACGGGCTCCCTCATTTGGGTGATGTGTCTGTTTCTTTGTATTGTCTTTACTCCTTTTAAGGCTTGGTGAATATTCTTAAATTATACTTGAGATTGGGGTCTCTTTTGTACCCTAAGTACCCAAGAAGTAATATGGCTTTAGATACAATTAGTGGGGCACATATGTCTCAAGAGGTCTCTGGCTCTGAGACTAGTGGGATGTGGGCCCATTTCTGCAGATTCACACAGGGACACCCACCAGAAGGCAGCATGTACTAAAGTGGGACAGCAGCTTCCCCGTAAACTCCAGAGATGAGAGATGTGTTTGTGCTAAGTACTCCGGGTCAGGACATGGTTGAAGAATTGGCTTTGTCTTATCAAATGAACAACAGCAACTGCAAGTTAGAGGAGCACCTTCAGCACAGTGAGTGGGTTAATGAGGGTGAAAGGGTACTGTGAAAGGGAGCACAACGTGATGAATGGAGCCAGTGAACTGAACTGTACATACAGAACTTGTTGAAATGCGTATGTTTTGTTATTCGAAAGTGCTTAAAAAGATTCATGGAAAAAATGGAATTAAGAGATCATAGAATTTTTCCTCGAACGGATTGGAGTCCCCTCCTATATACTTTTCACTAAAAACAAATTTTAAAAGTACGGCTGCTAATAAAACGATTTAAAAATTAAAAAAAAAAAAGTACGGCTGACTCTCTTTAGGCTCCTGGTAAGGAATATGAACACACTGAAATAAATTACTTTCCAGGCAGAGCGCAGGGGCTGCTACTTTACAGAGGAGAGGGCCTGGTATTGCCCGTATTACTATGCCGAAGCAACTTGTATTTTCATTTAAGCATTGATATATTTGGGGGACCCCCTGTTTAACAATTTATATGGCATCTCATTGATGGTTTGGTTCGGACTTAAAACCACTATGTCTAACAGAACGGAACCCTGTCTGGTCTTGTGTCATTTTCACGTTGTGTTAGAGCCCGCTGTTGCAACAACTATGTCAATCCATTTCCTTGAGCTGCTTCTTCTTTTTCACTGATAATGCTAAGCAAATGTCCCTGTCCAGGATCTGACCCTGATAACATGCCCAGAGCTCTCTTCCCTTCTAAGGAGCGATCGGCTTTCCTTCCTCGTTCCTCTGGCACTCAGTCCATGGTATTTAGTATTCCACAATACTTCAATTCAAGTGAATCCGGTTTTGTTGTGGTTAGGTGCCCTGAAGTGGGTTCCCACCCATGTTGACGCTGTGCACAGCAGAGGGAAACAGTGCCTGGTCCTTTGCCGTCTTCACGGTGGTTGGTGTACTTGAGCCGACTGTGGCAGACACGGTGGCAGTCCACTTCCTTGAGGGCCTTGCTCTTTGTGCAGCCCCTTTACTTTAACAAGCATGACATTCTCCTGACAGCATGTCCAGTGTACATGAGACAGTCACACCATCCTTACTTCTAAAAGGAGCATGCTGGGCAGACTTCTTCCAAGACAGATTTGTTAGTTCTTTTGGCCATCCATGGTGCTTTCAGTATTCTTCACCAGCACCATCATTCGTAATGTATTGATTCTTCTTCTGTCTTCCTGATTGAGTGCTCATCTTTCACATGTATATGTGACGATTGAAAATACAATGGTCAAGGGCTCAAGTGGAAACAAAATGTTTTGAAAATGACGATGGCAACATATGTACAAAGGTGTGTGACACAACGGATGGATGGATGGATTGTGATAAGAGCTGTAAGAGCCCCCAATAAAATGATTCTTTTAAAAAAAAAGAAGCCAATACCATGGCTTGAGTCAGGTACACTTCAGTCTTCAAAGTAACCTCCCTGCTTTTCAGAGGCCTTGTGCAGCAGATTTCAGTTCTTCCTAAGAACTTAGGCTTTCCTTGTTCATTGTCCAGTTTTCACAAGCAGTGTGTGGTGATTTAAAATACTGTAACGTGGGTCAGGCACACCTTAGTCTTCAAAGTGACATCTTTGCTTTCAAACACTTTAAAGAGGTTTTGTGTAGCAAATATACCCAATGCAGAATGTGGTTTGATTTCTTGACTGCTGCTACCGTGAACATTGATTGTGAATTCAAGCAAAATGAAATCCAAGCAAATTGTCTTTTCTTTGCTTATGTTGTTTATGTTGTCTCTTGGTCACACCGTGGAGACTTTTCTTTACATTAAGTTGTAATCCATACTGAAAGCTGTAATCTTTGATTACATCAGCAAGTGCCTCAAGTCCTTTTCACTGGCAAGTCTTTCAGCATGCAAGGTGTGTCATCTGCATTTTGCAGGCTGAAGCAATGATGTGGTTCCCGTGACTGACATCCTCACGCTGTACTTGCTGGGTGGAGACTCCAACTTCGCATCTGCCCAAGGATGACCCCTAGGAGGCCGAGGCCATGCATGCCTCCACCCTTCTTCCAACCCCAACCGTACTTCTCAGAGCATACCACTTCTCTGCTGGACTCGAGAATCCATTGCATTGATTACACACAGAACTCACAGAAAATACTCACAATTAAAGGGTTTATTAGGCAAATCAATAGGTTACCACAAGTCAGGATTAGAAAACATTAAGTATACAGCTCTTTGGTCTGTTTTAGGGTGCCAAAAATCTCAAAACCAAATTCACTGCCATTGAGTAAGTGCCGACTCTTAGTGACCCTGTAGGGCAGGGTAGAACTGCCTCTCTGAGTTTCTGAGACTGTAACTTTTTTTTTTTTTGAGACTAACTCTTTATGGCAGTAGAAAGCCCCATCTTTCTCCCGAGGAGCTACTGGTGGTTTTAAACTGCTGATCTTGTACTTAGTATCCCAACTAGTAACCATTAAGCCATCAGGTCTTCCTACTGCCATTCATACTTGTCTGCAAACTAAGTGCCCAGAATTTAAGCTCTAATATAGTTTACAGAAGGATCTTTTCTCAGCCATGCCAGCATTTATGTTTTTCTGGTCTCAGTCTGTCAGCCATGTGACCCCTTGGCCTCCGTTTCATTTAATGGTAGGGAAGCCCACTGCTCTGTCTCATGGACTTGGTACTGTGGTCTTTGTACCACTGCTGTCAGCACTACTTCACACAAGGCTACTGCCACTTCACACAGGGATATGGGATGTGCTTCACTCCTGGCTCTTCTGTCTTAATGATTATAGGATTCTCTGTTTCTGCTTCTGAGACGACTCCCTCTTACACACAGTGTAATGGCAAAATTGATCAATCCCTGAGTTGAGTCTTCTACACCCTACTTTCGTACTTGCAAGCTTCCACCCAGTCATTTGGTTGGAATTACAAAGACTATGAATAGAAGAGCTAGACCAAGTAATTTCAGGCTGTTAACGAACCTTCTAGGATTATTTGCGCAGCATACAGAGTGAATAAGTATGCTGCAAGGATTCAACCCTTGCCCACCTTTCCAGATATTAACCACGCTGTATCCTCTTGTTCTGTCCAACCACTGCCTCTTGGTCTATGTAGACTCCTCATGAGTATAATTGTCCTGAAATGCCCATTCTAATCAACATTTTTTGTGATCCACACAGTCAAAAAGCCTGTACATAGTCAGTAAAACACCAGTAAACATTCTGAGACTATCAATAAGATATTTCCTTTAAAAAAAAACATTTAATTAAGGCTCTTCTGAAATTGGCTTTTGTTTTAAGTTACAGTGATGAGTTAGGATGGAAACGGAATTTGGGGGTATTGGGTAGCTGATAATGGATACAAGAATGGAAGAAATGTTTTAAAATGGATTCTGGTGATGACTGAACAATTTTTGAATGTATACTTAAACTTTATAATTTTATGGTTGTGAATTACACATCGAACTTTAAAAAAAAAAAGGATGAATATAGGGTATAGGGTGAACGAGGGCAAAATAAAATGAATGGATATGATATAGGCAGTGCAATGAATTACCTAATATTGCCTATCCAGCCATGCATGGTCAGGTAACTCCCACAAAATGATTGGGTGCTTGTGGTCCACCATGGTGATTGGACAGTCTGTTAGTAATGCAAATAAATGCTTGTGGCAGCCTTGTTTGGGTTATACAGATAAGGTGTATGGCACACTAACAGTAGAATTGGTCAGTTTTGCCATCACTT